CAACCGACTGAGCCACCCAGGCGCCCTCTCGGTGTTTTTTTAATTGTGACAAGTGAGTGGAGGCTTGAGAACAGAAGATGTCGCCATCGAGCAGCCTTGCGCCAAGCAGTTGGGGAGTCTGTGTCTGGAATTTGGAACGTGTCCCATGTCAGGCTCCCAGGGGTCCCGGCTACCGTCCCAGCCACGAAGCAGCCGCCCAGCCTGGCCTCTGTGCCCCAGCGTGGCCACGCGGCCCGAGTCTCCCGCGGTGGGCAGCAGAGCCCAACTGCAAAGCAAAGGAAGCCGATTTTGCTGTGATCTCTCCAGCTCTGTAGGCCCCTCCGGGCGGGGAGCAGTTAAGAACTGGCAAGGGGAGGCTTGCAGGGCCCAGGCACGGGGGCTGCCCCTGAGCAGACCCCCCACCCCGCTTCTTCTGCCTCTGCCTGTGCTTCAGGCCCGCCTGCACAGAGAACTCAGGGCCGGGCTCCACCCGCAGGGAGCTAGGGAAATGGGGGACTCAGTGGCCAGAAGGGGCTTCACCCAGGCTCAGACACAGCGCCTGCTGCTCCGTCCAGGCCCGTGGCCGGGCCACACCGGTCACAGCTCTCTCCCGGGCAGGGCCACTGAGGCCCCCCGTGCTCTGCAGGGCCAGGGGGCCGCAGGGGCGGGGGGACGTGGGACAGCCATGGACGCTGGCCCTGGGATGCTGCCCTACTTGGACTCCAGGGCCACTATCAGGCCATGTCCCAGCCTGCCGGGACACTCTCGCTGCTGCCATGCCTGTCCCTCTCCAGCATCTCTCGTTGCATTTTGGCCTGATTTCCAGGCATCTCCGTGCTGGCAGCTGGCAACCCCAGCAAGGTCTGTGCGGTGTCCGGTCTTCAGGAAGGGAGTCGACTTCTGCCGAAGCCCACAGCGGTGCCCCCTCACTCACCGCACCTGCCACAGGGTGCCTGGGAGGCTGCCTGCCGCCCGCACAGGTGTGCTGGCCGTCCCTGAGCGCCCAGGGCCGCCCCGCGGCGCTGGCCACGCCGAACCTGGTCTTCCCAAAATGCTCAGGGTTTCGCGTGCGACAAGCTGGACCCCTTCGGTTAGGGTGTGGGGGGTTTTGCCCCAGCCACCGATTGAGCTGTTGAGGAACGCGGCTTGGTTCACCGTTACCACTTGCTGAGCCATGAACTTTGGCTAAACCATGTTCCGCTTGCGGTAAATGAAACTGCTCCGAGCAGAGGATTTCCTTCCAGCTCCCTGGGGTCGCAGGGTGGTGGGAGCCGACCCATCTTCCCTGCACTCCCAAGCCGGAGGCCCATGTCCCCTTGCTCCCTGGTCCAGGGTCAGCAGAGCACGTGGCGGACACCTGGGAGGGACGAAGCAGAACCCTTCCCAAAGGCGCACGCGGGGTCGCCTTCCTCCTGAGTGTCAGTGGACTGGAAGGTTTACCTTGCGAGGCCTTCCTCCCCCAGCCTGCAGCATCCAGACGCCATCTCGGAGGACTCACGACCTGCAAACCAACACGAATCCTTTCTTTCATGATAATATTAACTCTTCCAGAAAAATCATAAACAGGCACATCAGGTCAGAGGACCGCTACGAGTCTACTTGTAAAGGGGGTGTGTGTTCACGGAGAACGCTGCCCACGAGAGACTCCAGAGGCTGCTGACAGCCTGGGAGGACTGCGGGGGCCACGGAGACCCGTGCTGGGGACACCACCCCAGCGACAGCCAGGCCTCCCGCTCTGGACTCATCCCGTCACCATTCTCTCGACAGGCACCCTGAGGCCACGCGCGTCTCCCTGTGGTTTTCCTGCCAAGAGCATTTAGCAGAATCTATAACCGCGAGGAAACAGCCAATACACGTTGAAAGACAGTCTATAAAACCACTGGCCTGGAATCTTCAAAAAGATGGTGTCAGGGGCACCCAGGGTGGCTCAGCGAGTCGCGCGTCCAACTCTTGATTTCGGCTTGGGTCATGATCTCACGGTTCGTGGGTTTGAGCCCCGAGTCAGGCTCTGTGCTGACAGTGCGGAGCCTGCTTGGGATTCTCTCTCTCTCCCTCTGTCTCTGCCCCTCCCCAACTCACTCTCTATTTCTCTTTCATCAAAAAAAATTTTTTTTGAACAATAAAAAGTACATAAATAAAGAAATAATAAAATGTGGGGGTGGGGCGGGAAATGGACACTATTCCAGAATAACTGGGAGACACGAGAGACCACTGCAATGCATAATCCCCATCAGATCCTGGTGCAAACATTTTAAAAGATTTTAAGTGTATTTTGGGATACGGGGGGAAAATGGAATAAGGACCGTGTGTGAAGTGATCATTCTTAAATCCCCTTGTGTTCAGGTTCTGTGGGAGAATGGCCTTGTTCATAGGAGAAGCCCATGGAAGTGTCTGGGGCAAATTGTCATATCTGCAGAATTAGTCAATATCAATAATTATTATTGGTGTGGGGAAAGAGAACAAATAGGGCAAAATATTAACAATTCTTGAATCTAGGTGTCTGAGTGTTCATTGTGTTGTCTTGCAATTCTTCCATAAATTTGAAATTTTTTTAGTGTTTTTATTTATTTTTGAGAGAGAGAGAGAGAGAGAGAGAGAGACAGAGCATGAGCGGAGGAGGGGCAGAGAGAAGAGAGAGACACACAGTCCGAAGCAGGCTCCAGCCTGTGAGCTGTCTGCCCAGAACCTGATGCGGGGCTCGAACTTGTGAACCGCAAGATCGTGACCTGAGCGGAAGTCGGACGCTCTACCAACTGAGCCACCCAGACGCCCCAAGTTTTTAATTTATTTTTGAGAGAGAGAGAGAGAGAGCGTGGGAAGGGGGGGAGGGGGCAGAGAGAGAGGGAGGCACAGAATC